TCTATTCTATTCTATTCTATTCTATTCTATTCTATTCTATTCTATTCCTATTCTATTCTATTCTCCAATATTATTCTATATTCTATATTCTATTCTATTCTATTCTATTCTATTCTATTCTATTCTATACTATTCTATTCCATCTTCTATTCTATTCTATTCTATTCTATTCTATTCTATTCTATTCTATTCTTATTCTACCCCTTCCTCCTCCTCCTCCTCCTCCCCCCTCCTCCATTTTCTTCACCTCCATCTCCATCTTTCCCTACCCCTCCTTCTTCCAGCAACCGGCTCAATGCTTTAAAAAAAAAAAAAAACCAGCTCACCCAACAGGTCTGAAAACCAACATTATCCCTTTTAAGGACACGTTTCTCAGCCTTTCTAATGTAGACTGCCCCTGACTGGGGGAGGTTTTACTGCTACCACAGACCCAACGCCTACGGGAGATCGCCCGGTTTTCTTTCCAAACCTTCCCTCTTCCCAAGGCTGGATTTTCTCGGAAGCCCTTAAGTCACACGTAATGTTCCCCAACCTCACCCAGCTGAATTCCTTCTCCCCTCCAACTCCCCCACCACCACCACCACCCTGCCCCGCGCACTCCCAACACGCCAGCGTGCCAAGATGGATTGCATCTGTGCAGGAAAGTTAGCACAACGCTGTCCATTTTTTTTCCCCCACCCTTGGCGCCGAGCCAAGGAAACAGAGCAACGGAGCAAATGAGCCCCGAGAGGAGGGAGGTCGCGTCTGGGAACACGGAACCGTTTCAACATGCACCCCGGGGGGCCCCCTCTAAGTGTGACGGACGAAGGCGGGTCCAAGCCACAGGCTTCTCCCCACAACCCATTGAGTTCAATCAGCCCAGGCGCAATTAGGCATGAAAAGCACACCAAGGCCAGGGCGAAAAGGACGGGATTTTAAAGCATTGCGTTCCCAAAGGGAATCTGCAGAAATAGGAATTCTCTCTCTCTCTCTCCTTCTGTCTCTCTCTTTCTCTCTCTCTCTCTCCTTCTCTCTCTCTTTCTGTCTCTCTCTTTCTCTCTCTCTCTCTCTCCTTCTCTCTCTCTTTCTGTCTCTCTCTTTCTCTTTCTCTCTCTCTCTCCTTCTGTCTCTCTCCTTCTCTCTCTCTTTCTGTCTCTGTCTCTCTCCCTAACTCTCTGTCTCTCCATCTCTCTCTTTCTGTCTCTCTCTTTCTGTCTCTCTATCTCTCTGTCTATCTTTCTCTCTCTCTGTCTCTGTCTCTCTCCCTGACTCTCTGTCTTTCTCTCTCTCTCCATCTCTCTCCTTCTCTCTCTCTCTCTGTCTCTGTCTCTCTCCCTCTGTCTCTCCATCTCTCTCTTTCTGTCTCTTTCTTTCTCTCTCTCTCTCTCTCTTTCTCTCTCTCCATCTCTATCCTTCTCTCTCTGTCTCTGTCTCTGTCTCTCTCCCTGACTCTCTGTCTCTCCATCTCTCTCTCTTTCTGTCTCTCTCTTTCTGTCTCTCTCTCTCTCTGTGTGCGTGTGTGTGGCAAGGAACCAGCTGAGCTCATCTTTATCCGAACAATTATCTCCCAGTCAAGATTGCCTGAGGCCAGGAACAGAGGCGACAGGGGTAACAAAATGACACCAACATCCACACAAGCTCTCTATGGCTTAAGTAGCGGGCTGGAGGCAGAATCTTAAAAATTCCTGGAAGGGTTGGACTTCAAGACCTCTAACATCCCTTCCAACTCTCTTATTCTCGCTCCTTTCCTCCCCTCCCTCCTTCCTTTCTTCCTCTCCTCCCTTCCATTCCTTCCTCTCCTCCCTTCTATTTATTTTATTTTATTATTGTATTTTATTTGTCAATCGCTTACAAGATAACAGGTATAAGTATAAACATGAATAAGAATACACTTCTTACTTATACCTCCCACTCCTTCCTTCCTTCCTTCCTCTCCTCCCTCCCTCCCTCCCTCATTTCCTTTCTCCTTCACTGGAGGTTTTCGACAAAAGACCAGACAGCCATTTGTCTGCTATGGTCTAGAGTTCTCCTGCTTGAGCAGGTGGTTGGACTAGAAGACCTCTAATGTCCCTTCCTGGTCATTCACATTTTGAATTGTTACCATCAGGGAGGCGTTATAGGTGTCTTAAAACGAGGACTAATAGACGGTGAAACAGTTTCTTTTCCAAGGCAATAATTGTCTTGAATCACACAGTACCTTTGTGATTTAGTCCTATGTATAAAGTGGCATTTTTAAACTATGTAAATATATGTTTTAAACAGGTTTTAGACTAGGTTTTTAATTATTATTATTACTTTAATTATTTTAATTTTTAAATACTCTGCGGCGTGATTGCGATGTGGTGTTTGGGGCACTGTGCTGGAGCAGCTTTCAAATTTCATTGTATTTTGTATGCAATGACAATAAAGGTATTCTATTCTATTCTATTCTATTCTATTCTATTCTATTCTATTCTATTCTGTTCTGTTCTGTTCTGTTCTGTTTTTATTCTATTCTATTCTATTCTGTTCTGTTCTGTTCTGTTTTATTCTATTCTATTCTATTCTGTTCTGTTCTGTTTTTATTCTATTCTATTCTATTCTATTCTGTTCTGTTCTGTTCTGTTTTATTCTATTCTATTCTATTCTATTCTATTCTGTTCTGTTCTGTTCTGTTTTATTCTATTCTATTCTATTCTATTCTGTTCTGTTCTGTTTTATTCTATTCTATTCCAGCTCGACTATTCTGTGCATTTGTGTTAGCCGAGTTGGACTGTTGTTGATGATTTCAGGGGTTCCCACCCACCTCTTCAATTCGTGGCGGCTGTTTACAGCTCACGTTTGTTCCAAATCCTCACCCAGCCTTCCACGCTCTCTCTGGCTCAGCGTGCGTGTTTTTTTTTCTTTCTCCAAGGGGGAGGGTGGGTGTTGAGACGTGTGGAGGACACACTCCGGGTCCCTGCACAGGCTATACCCATCAGTCCAGGTCTATTAAAATGGAAGTCTTTCCTCCCCTCCCTCCCTCCGCCTCCCCTCCCCTAGAGATTAAAACCAAAACCTGTCTGAGCATAACAGATTCTGTAATTAACAGATCTGATCTCAATTCTGGGGCATTCTTGGAAGGATGCACACCAGCCCCGTGTGT